TTGACCCTTCTGCTTCTCTCCAGTGCTTCGACCCTCGGCTTGTTCCTGACGTTGCTCCTGCTTCATCCACTGGTACTGCGTACCTCTTTTGAGCTCAGTCAACCCCCATAGTGCTACCACCGCAGAAGCTACTTTGCATTCACTCCAGCAAGGCAGACGACCTGTTGATGATTATGTAGCGGAGTTTCGTAGATGGAGCACAGACACGGATTGGAATGATGCTGCCCTGCGTTGTCAATTTCGCTTTGGACTTTCTGTATCAATTAAAGATGAATTGGCATGCATAGGAATCCCTGACTCTATGGAAGATCTGATTTGACTGTCAATTCAAAAATCGACAGAAGGCTGAGAGAGCGCAGGACAGAAAGGAGTAGTCAAGTCCCTCCCACATGGATGTTGCCTAGGATTCTATCTTTCCCCAATCCTGCTGTAGTACCTTTGACCAAATCTGCCTTCGCTTTTACCGGAGAACAACCAGAACCCATGCAGCTGGGCCTCATCCGGGCTCCTTTGTCTCTTGAGGAGAAGAACCATCGCAGCCAGATGAATCTCTCCTGTTATTGTGGGGAGCCAGGGCATTATGTACGAGCCTACCCCAACAAGCCCCGTAAGTGTGGAGCTTCTATTGCACAAGTTTCTGATGCTAGAATGCCTGATCGGACTTCTCACGTTATTGTTCCGGTTTCTTTAAAGCTGCTGGAAGGGGAAGTCAAGTCGCGGGCCGTAATTGATTTAGGGGCCTGCAGTTGCTTTCTGGATCAGGAATTCGCTCAAGTCCGTCATCTCCCTCTACAGCCTCGTTCTAAAAGCCTTACCATTCATCTAGTGGATGGTTCCAACATCAGTTCTGGCCCAGTTACCCAAAAAAACGGCTTTAATTCCCATTATTTTGGATTCAGGACATTCCGAACTTCATCTGGATGTGATCTCTTCCCCACAATTTCCTATCACCCTGGGCTTAGCATGGTTGAAAGCTCACAACCCTCTAGAGACAGGTGAAATAAAATGTAAATCTACCAATGTATACAGAACTGCCTGCTTCCAACTCCTGCACCTTGTATAGCATTGAGTCAGCAAGAGATCTGCCCAGAGTTATATCAATCTATTCCTCCTCAGTATCAGTATTCTTAGGATCCAGAGCGCCTCCAGGTGGCGCTGGAGCTAAGCCCTGCAGTTCCTGTGCTCACCTGCAGGTGTCTCCAGGCAGCCAGGAGCTATTAGGTACCAGACCACCACTAGGTGGTGCTGGAACTTACAGCTCCAGTGTTCGCCTGCGGGTGTCTCCCAGCTGCCAGTACTTAGCCATCACCTGGTGCTTCCTGGAGGATATTTAAACCCTCCCTGCAGTCAGGATGATGGCTCAGTATACTATAATTGTTTCCTGTGAATCCTGAGTCCCCAGTCTTGAGTCCTGTTCCCTGCTTATGTTCCGGAGTCCTGTTGCCTGCTTATGTTCCGGAGTCCTGTTGCCTGCTTATGTTCCGGAGTCCTGTTGCCTGCTTATGTTCCGGAGTCCTGTTGCCTGTTTATGTTCCTGAGTCCTGTTACCTGTTTATGTTCCTGAGTTCAGTTACCTGCTTATGTGCCTGAGTCCTATTGCCCTGCTCCCAAGGTTTTCATGCCCTGTTATATCCTGTGAGGGTATTCTGTGGTTTGTTCCTAGTTTTTGGTTGCGATTACTTATTTGTGGGTTATGTTATGTTTTGGCTCCTTATAAATAAAAAAA